AGACGTGTTAGCGATTAGGATACGGATAGCCGTGTTGTTTGAGTGTAAGATCAGCGAACTAAACCGCTAAAGAGCTAATGTCAACAAATGCTGATGCACTTAACAACGTTAGTGCGGTGTGTTATTTTGACTGACATTTCGCTTCTGTGTTTTTGTTTGTCTGTATGTGTGTGTGTTTGTTTTTAACTGTGTGTTTGTTTTTAACTGTGTGTGTTTGTTTTTAACTGTGTGTGTGTCTGTTTTGTTTGTTTTTAACTGTGTGTGTGTTTGTTTTTAACTGTGTGTGTGTGTCTGTTTTTGACTGTGTGTGTCTGTGCTTTGTTATTTTGACTGACAGTTCGCTTCTAATTATTGTAAGTATAAATGTGTGTGTGTATAGTCATGTACAATATCCTGACGTGATTATTATCATGTGTGTCTGTATTTTTGTCTAGAGAATCGTAGACTCCTGTCCTCTATGGTATCACACTGATGTGTGTGTGTGTGTGTGTGTGTGTGTAGCGTGCGCTGAGGTCATCAGTGAGATCATGGCCAGTGCCGCAGCGAGTGAGAGTCCAGCAGGAACAGAGAACAGCAGCAGTGGGACTCAGGACGGCACCTTTGAGTGTAACATCTGCCTCGACACATCTAAAGATGCCGTCATCAGCCTGTGTGGACACCTGTTCTGGTGAGACCACACACACACACACACACACACACACACACTCACACACATGTCTGGTTCGCTATCTCTGTGGGGACTCTCCATAGAAGTGATGTACTCAAAACTCTATATTGGAGGACTTATAAATCACGTGCACGTTGTAATACCATGTCATCATACAAATTTCTGTCCTCATACATAAATTAAATTAAAACACACACACACACCTCTTCTAGTGACTCGCTCAACTCTTGTTTCTCTCTCCTCTCGGATCGCTCCTGTGACGTGTGTGTCCTCCAGCTGGCCGTGTTTGCATCAGGTGAGTGTTGCAGTGTTGCAGTGTTTCATGGTCATGTGACGTGACTTTAGTTCGATGCACCTGAACCGTGTGTGTGTGTGTGTGTGCAGTGGCTGGAAACCAGGCCGAACAGACAGGTGTGTCCCGTGTGTAAAGCAGGAATCAGCCGAGAGAAGGTGATCCCGCTGTACGGCAGAGGCAGCACCGGCCAACAGGACCCCAGGTGTGTGTGAGTGTGTGTGTGTGTGTGTTTTGAGAGAGAGAGATAGCTAATGATTTTTGTGTTGTAGAGCTTTGAAATATGACTTTAGAAAGAAACTATTGCTATTTTAGATTTTCAAAATTGATTATTCTGTGTGATTTATAACCTTGTTTCCTCATGGGGACTTAAAAACATTCCCACAGGGTCAAAGTTTACTGGAAATGAATACTCACACACACACACACACACACGCACACGGACACTCCTACTCACACACACTCACACCCTCACGCTCACTCATGCTCACTCATACTCACACACACACTCATACTCACACACACACTCACACGCACACACTCATACTCACACACACACACACACACACACTCACACGCACACACTCATACTCACACACACACACACTCACACGGACACTCCTACTCACACACACTCACACCCACACACTCACACGCACACACTCATACTCACACACACACACTCACACAGCCACACACTCATACACACACACACACTCACACACTCATACTCAGTTACTCACACACACAGTTTGCATAATTGATTCTGTTATTTTCCTGTTTATGACTGTGAATCAGTCTATACTGTATGAAGCGTTATATGAATAATGTGATTATACACACATACACACACCAGTACACCACTGAGTGAACTATTGAAGTCTGAAGTGATTTTGCTGTGTGTTCAGAGAGCGGACTCCTCCACGACCGCAGGGACAGCGGCCCGAACCCGAGAACCGAGGCGTGAGTATCTTTAACACACTCACACAGTGTGAGCTAAACACTCACAGTGATCATCACACACACACACTAATATATATATATATACACTCACCGGCCACTTTATTAGGTACACCTGTCCAACTGCTCGTTAACACTTAATTTCTAAGCAGCCAATCACATGGCGGCAACTCAGTGCATTTAGGCATGTAGACATGGTCAAGACAATCTCCTGCAGTTCAAACCGAGCATCAGTATGGGGAAGAAAGGTGATTTGAGTGACTTTGAACGTGGCATGATTGTTGGTGCCAGAAGGGCTGGTCTGAGTATTTCAGAAACTGCTAATCTACTGGGATTTTCACGCACAACCATCTCTAGGGTTTACAGAGAATGGTCCGAAAAAGAAAAAACATCCAGTGAGCGGCAGTTCTGTGGGCGGAAATGCCTTGTTGATGCCAGAGGTCAGAGGAGAATGGCCAGACTGGTTCGAGCTGATAGAAGGGCAACAGTGACTGAAATAACCACTCGTTACAACCGAGGTATGCAGCAAAGCATTTGTGAAGCCACAACACGCACAACCTTGAGGCGGATGGGCTACAACAGCAGAAGACTCCACCGGGTACCACTCATCTCCACTACAAATAGGAAAAAGAGGCTACAATTTGCAAGAGCACACCAAAATTGAACAGTTGAAGACTGGAAAAATGTTGCCTGGTCTGATGAGTCTCGATTTCTGTTGAGACATTCAGATGTTAGAGTCAGAATTTGGCGTAAACAGAATGAGAACATGGAACCATCATGCCTTGTTACCACTGTGCAGGCTGGTGGTGGTGGTGTAATGGTGTGGGGGATGTTTTCCTGGCACACTTTAGGCCCCTTAGTGGCAATTGGGCATCGTTTAAATGCCACGGCCTACCTGAGCATTGTTTCTGACCATGTCCATCCCTTTATGGCCACCATGTACCCATCCTCTGATGGCTACTTCCACCATGTCACAAAGCTCTAATCATTTCAAATTGGTTTCTTGAACATGACAATGAGTTCACTGTACTAAAATGGCCTCCACAGTCACCAGATCTCAACCCAATAGAGCATCTTTGGGATGTGGTGGAACGGGAGATTCGCATCATGGATGTGCAGCCGACAAATCTGCGGCAACTGTGTGATGCCATCATGTCAATATGGACCAAAGTCCCTGAGGAATGCTTCCAGCACCTTGTTGAATCTATGCCACGAAGAATTGAGGCAGTTCTGAAGGCAAAAGGGGGTCCAACCCGTTACTAGCATGGGGTACCTAATAAAGTGGCCGGTGAGTGTATATATATTAGTTCTGGGCAATGATTAATCGCATCTAAAAATAACATAATATATGTGTGTGTGTGTGTACTGTGTATAATTATTTTGTATATATAAACACGCATGTTTTTATATTTGAGAAATATTTGCATGTATATACTGTAGATATAATTTATATTATATATAAATATAATTTTTTTATATATAAATTTTCCGAAATATATTCGTGTGTGTGTTCATTTATGTATAAATATATATATGAAATAATTATACACACACATATATTATGTAAACACAAACTTTTATTTTGAATGCGATTAATCGCGATTAATTGTTTCACAGCACTTTATATATACACACACACACACAGGCCCGCCGACAGGGGGGGACAAACGGGTCTGTTGTCCCGGGCCCAGGGTAGGGAGGGGGGCCCAGAACTGGGCCCTCATTAAATTATGGAATAATTGTTAAAAAAATAAATAAAATAGGCATATTTGTTGAAAAAATATCTAATATTTGAGTTACATAAAAGCTTTTTATTCGTTTTCTTCCTAATTGTCCTTGAAATAGTGGTCAAGAACCCCCCCGCCCCCCAAACAAAAATGGTTTGGCCACTGATCGAAATATGATGTTGTCATTTGATTTGAAGTTCAGTAGGCTAACGTTACGCTCAAAATGTCAGCACAAGTCCGGTGCTCAGAAAAGAAAAGAGAAGAAGAAAATAGAGGCCTTCGAGATGCCCTAAACAAATATTTTTAAAAAGGTGGTGACGGTGAACCTGGAACTAACGTTAGTAAAGTCAACGTAGAGCAAGGTAAGAAACAGCGCAGCCAACGTTTATGAGTGTTGTCAAAGACCCGGCACTTCGGTACCAAGTCGGTACACATTTCTTTTTAAACGTCACGCCACGGTACCAGGTTTTCTCAAACCCGGGATGCGCGTGCATGCCTAAAGCGCGTGCAGTTGCGTCCTCTTCATAAAAGCGCTGAGACATGGCGACCGGCGGTGCTGCTGATGTGGTGGCTGTAAATCCACTTGTTGATAAGAAAGGAGGAAAGAGCCACATATGGAAATATTTTGGATATTAGCTCATAATAGCGACGCGGCGCGCTCGTTTTTACAGGCGCGCCTAAGTTCATTGTTGCAAAGCAACGACAGACGCCACGGGAGAGCACGCGCTTGTGGAAAGGAGAAAGCGGTGCGAACTGCGCTCTCCATGATGATGAGGAAGTATTAGCAAAGAATTCATTGATTTCTAGCCCTTGGATTAGCTTTACTACTATTTATGGAGATGAGAAATAAAAAGCCGGCTGAAATGCATCACTGTCATCATCGGGGAACAGATAATGGGTCAGATCCGAGTCTATTTTTGCTGTGCTGCTCATGCTTAAAAGTGAAAGCACACTTTTGATGGACAAAAAATAAATATGATTTCACACAAAAAGTGCCCAAAATGCACAGATTATGCATGTCTAGTGTGTTTTAACAAGAACTGCAGTAGGCTATGTCAGAAAAGAAAATGAAGACAGTTATAGAAAATGTACCCATTTAAACGTGTTTTTATTATTCATTTTGGGTAAAAGTATATGGTGTTTTATAAAAAATAAAAAAAATCGTGGGGGGGGGGGGGGCGCATCTAAGATTATCTTGTCCCGGGCCCAGACAAGACTGTCAGCTGGCCTGCACACACACACACACACACACACACAGCATTTATGGTTGTACACGCATTTCAGTCCCTCCAGAAAAACGTGATTATGCGATCGCATGATTCAGTGCATAATCAGCCAAAGTCTGCATATTTATGCGGGGCCGCATTCTTTTTTTTAAAACGCCGCACTTTCGCTGCATAAATTGCCGATTTCCGTGCAAAATATGTGGATCTTGCATGATTTCATAATCCCCGCATTTTCGTTGCAAAAAACGTCACATATATCTCAGCAGAAAGTTGAGAAATGTTGCGTTTGCTTCACACGAGAGCCGCCGTTTCCCCCGTTGCCATGGGAACGGTATGAAGTGACGTGATTACGCGACGTGAACATCATCGGAAAGCTGTAAAACAGGAGCACACTTTATTTTTCTATATTTGTAGTTATTAATTTTTACAGAAGTTGTAGCATATTCCTTTTGTAAAGCTACAGAACTTGTTTGACTCATCAGTGTTTTGAAAGTTTGATGTGTTTATTAAGCTCTGAAATAAAACAAGATGAGAACTGAGATATTCCAGCACTTTCTGTGATGTATATGCTTGCTTATCATAGGAAGGAATAAGAAATGACTCTTTACAGTAAGGTAAAGGTGAGAACAGGGCGTTGGGGAATCACTTTTTCATCAAACCGCAGTTTTTGCAAGTTCCCGCCATCGCATTTCCAAGAAAACGGGCCGCATAATCAAGGACTTTTGCCCGCAACAATCACACAAAAACTCTGTGTTTTTCTAGAGGGACTGGGGTTTGCAACGCAATCATTGCACACGGCTTCTGTGATGAAACTGTTACACGGATGGAGGTTGCTGTAGCGATTCATTAGTGGGACGAGCGTCCCGGCGGGGCTTATTAGGCGTCTCAGCGGACGGCGGCGGAGCGAGGGATGACATCATCTGACGCTTAGCGTTGCATCACATTCTGCTCTCCACTCCTAACGCTCCTGCGGCGGGTTAATTACTGGATGAACATTGTAGTCGTCCTCAAAATGAAGATTCTGTCACCGTTTAGTCGCCCTCATGTTGTTCAGACTAAAACTATAAAATAATTATTACTTGATATTAAATAAATGTTAACTGAAATATTAAAATAGCTCATTTATATAGACATAAAAACTCTACAAAATGACTAAATTTTACTAAAAGGGAAAATATAAAACTAATTCAAACTATTAATAAATAACTAAAATGGCATTTAAATGATACTAAAATAAGTGGCTCTCTCATGTAGTGTGTGATGAACCTGTGTGTGAATGTAAACGTTTGAAAGATCAGATAAATGGAGTTTAGAAAGAAAGAAGTGATTCTGAACTCAAACGAGTCGTCAGTAATTCAGTCTCACTTCCTGCTCAATCTGTGTGTGTAACTCATTAGCATAATGCCCTCCGATTGGCTGAGCAGCGTCTCTAAGCCCCGCCCTCAAACACGGGTTTATCTGAGACTGGAAGAGTTCGGTTCGGTTCGTTCATGTGGAGAACAAAGCAGATCCACAACATCGTCACTGTTCGTATCACTGTGTGTCGAGACAGTCATCGGTACTTTACAGTTCATGCAAAGTACGTTAATAATCAGGAGATAAAAAGTCAAATATATCGAAAATTATAAGGCATAATTATGATCAAACAGTCAAAATTAGGTTAAAATGTTGAAAATTAGGAAAAAAGTTGAAATTACTTTGACTCAAGTCTGAATTTTGACTTTTTTATGTCATAATTATAATCTTTCAAGTCAATGTCATATAATTATGACATTAAAAATGTCAAAATTCAGACTTGAGACAAAGTAATTTCAACTTTTTTCCTAATTTTCAACATTTTAACCTAATTTTGACTGTTTGATCATAATTATGCCTTAGCATGTCATCATTTTTGATATATTTGACTTTTTAAACGTTATAATTCTGACTTTTTAAGGCAATTTTGACTTTTTATCATTGATAATTATGACTTAAATCAGAATTTTGACTTTTATAATTTCAACTGTGATAAGTATGACTCTTTATTAATAATTATATCTTATGACTTTGTGAGTCATAATTTAAACTTTGTGTGTGTTTGCAGGGGTTTCAGGGCTTCGGCTTCGGAGACGGAGGCTTCCAGATGTCGTTCGGGATCGGGGCTTTTCCTTTCGGGATCTTTGCCACGGCGTTCAACATCAACGACGGAAGACCACCTCCAGGTACAACATGAGCAAACTTTGACCTGCATTAGGAAGTTATTAATAAGGTGATTAAGTAAACATCATGTTTTCTCACTGAATGAACTCAAGAAAGAAGGATGATGCAAATGAATCTCTAGCTATGTTTCCTTCCACACGTTTTTATCCGCATTCAGTGATATCGAAGGGAAGATGCCTTCTGGAAACAGGAAAATTCGATTGAATTTCATGAATATCGACTCAGATGAAATGCGTTCGGTCTCATCGGATTTCATCTTGATCGATGTACGGCTTATGCGATAAACGCGGATGGAAACGTTATTTGCCGAATAAATAATGAATTGTGATTAAGTTTTAGGTGATTTTATGGTTGCAACACAAAACATAGAAGAAGAAGATTCCGTTTGCGTGCTCTGCATCATCATAGCCTCGTTGTTTTCTTATTATAGCTTGTTATTACATGGATTGGTTGAATTCTAATGTAGAATGCGGTCTGTTATTTCTTGATAACACACCGTTGCTAAGTGTAACACACCGTTGCCATGAACAACAGAGCGTTGCCATGGACGCAGTTGAGAGACGGAACGGACTATTTTCTTTAGCGGAAGCAATACACTTGTTTTTAAATCAATAAACTCCTTTTTACATCAATATTTTGTGTCAAATTATTGATTTATTTGGTAGGTAGCGGGATAATGCGGTTGTTATAGCGAATACAACCCCTTCAGGCTAACAACCGCCTCGCTATACATTATCCTTCACATATGGCGCTATCAGCTAGCACATAAGCACTATTAGGCCACAACTTGTGCAATATTGATCATTTGTTGGTAGATGCGCGATCCATTTTGTCTAGCAAAACTTTGTTGGCAAATGTTGGCTTGAATGTTGTGCGATTCAGTGCGGAAATGAATGGAAACACCTTAACATGTCTCAAATCAATTCGATATACCAATTTGATCGCAGCATGTGACGTCATTACACACAGGTTTTTATCCGCTTTAAAGCCGTTGGATGGAAACACACTTTCACCAGCTTTATTCGCATGAGTTTTTTTTACCGAACTTCAGATAATTCGATTGACAAGTGGATGGAAACTTGGCTAGTGAGTAATTTTGCTTGTCCAGTAAATGTGTCTTGATTCTGGCGCTCTTCGGGCATTTTTGACAGAAAAATGTTACGTTTTTTTTTTTTTTTTATCGGAATTGTCTGAAACTTGGTAAAGGTTTTGGCACTTGCTGTGTGAACACACACACACACACACACACCATGGCCATGAGTGGAACAGGTTAAATGGTCCTGATAACAACAGTCACACTTCAGAAATGCCGCATTGGAAATGAATGCGAGACGAGTTTCCTCTAGTGGAAGCGTTTGGAACTGCAGCCGAACAACATCTCACTGAACGCTGGTTTACTGAGAGATCAGCCTCACATGCGGAACACACTGGGGAGAGTTACGGCTGAGATTAGCTCACTTTTAGAGGGAAACGGGCTTTGGAAAATATAACAATTGAAAATAGTATTTTTGTGCATTTTTCATAACAATAAACGGAAAATTCTGTAACTTAAGTTCACTTTTTAAAACTTTTTGTCACTTTAAAAATATAATCTGCAAGTGTCGTGTTTGAGAAGAGATCAAACTTCAGTCTGTCGCTCTAAAGCGTTCCAGATTTACCACAGTTTAAGCTGGACATTAAATTATCAGCTCTACGCTCAAAGAGTGAATAAATGGATTATAAATACAGCGAAAATATCATTTAGTATCATAAAATCCCCTAAAAATACTAAATATTAAACTAAAATATAATAGATTAATTTCATTGACAAAAAAAAAAAAGGTCATTTTTGACCGACACGCGAAGAGCTCGAGAGGGTTAAGAGTGTGTAGATATTTGTGCTGGAAAACAAGACCGGAATATGATGTTTTGCAGTGTGATTTAAGCCCCTTTCACACAGCGCTTTGAACCCGGCAAATTGCCAGAGTGCCTTCTGTGTGAACGCAAACACGACCCGGGACTGATGCCGGGGTCAATGCCGGGTCGGGGATCTAGTAACAGTGCCGCGTTCAGACCCGGAACACACGCTGTGTGAACAAAAGCCGTAACCAATGCCGTGTCGTAATGATGACGCTGAAGTGAAAGCAGGCTAGTGAAACGGTACGTAATGCGCTAGTTTATGATCGAATCAGAGAAAAAAATGCTCAAGCGTGGTTTCTCCAGAGAGAAATCGCAGCTCATAAGCAAACTATACACGTATACATGTCACATCGATGTCACGTGTCTTTCCGGAACATACACGGGTTGTGTGTGAACGCGCTCTCTGATTCCGGCAAATCACTGGCAGTGTGAATGAAGCAAATCAAACGAACCCGGGTCAAATCCTGGGTCGCTTTATCCGTGTATTTTCTGGAATCTCTGTGTGAAAGGGGCTTTATTGAAACTGAGTCTGTCTGAAATCAATCTAATAATGCAATCTTGAGATCAATAAAAATATTTATTTTTTATTGTATGATTATATTTTGTTATGTCTGTTGTGCAGCACTTTGGTCAGGATTCATGTTGTTTTAAGGTGCTATATAAATAAGTTTGACCTTTTGACCCCGCAGCGGCCCCAGGGACCCCCCAGCACACGGACGAGCAGTTCCTGTCCCGCCTCTTCCTGTTGGTGGCGCTCCTCATCATGTTCTGGCTGCTGATCGCCTGAACACACGGCAAACATGCTTCTCTTGCTCAGTGTGTGTGTCTAGTTTCCAGTCCAAATATCTAAACATTCTTACATCAAGATGCGTTTACTAGATGAGTAAAATGGGATGAGATATTATGTCTTGCTTTCTGGAGGAATAAATCAAAATTAAGTGAGTTTTTGCATAAAACGAGCAAAATTATCTGCCAACGGGGTCAGAAAAATAATCTTGTTTCTGTTTGAATTAAGTGTATTTTTCTGACACCATTGGGAGATCATTTTGCTTGTTTTATGCAAAAACTCACTTAATTTTGATTGATTTCCCCAGAAAACAAGGCATTTTACTAATTTACTAAATGCATCTTGATTTAAGAATGTTTAGATATTTGGACTGGAAACAAGACACACACACTGAGCAAGAACAGCATTTTTCACTCCATTATGGCTCTTCCTGAAGGCTAAAGATCCACTAAAATCTCAGTTGTGTGTGTGTGTGTGTGTGTGTGTGTGTCTCCTGATGGGATTTTGAAAAGAAACTCGTCTTTTTCTATGAAAGAGATTGCATGTCTGCGATGCTGTAAACACACACTCTTCTGCTCATGTTCCTGGATTTAAAAAGAATTCGATTTCAAATCCTTCATTGGATTTTTCTACGGTTACGGTGCCAAATGATGTCACTCGTGTTAACACAGCAAAATAATATATGTAGAAATCCTATAAACGCATAAATGTTCTTCTGGACAATAACCTTGAATACTTTCCTTTTAATTAACACTGAATGTTTTTCTTTGTAAATATGTTTCAACATGGATCACACTAAAGCTTTTTTATCATTCAAATAAAAGGGTTGTAGAAAATAGAGGTTAAAAATAATTCCGAACGTCTTAATAGCACATGACGATTTATTCATATAGAATGACAATGTGTATTATTAAGTTTCTGGGAACATTTGGGAGGGAATGTGTGAAAAGCATAAGCACATGTTGACTGTCCAGATGGTGATTAAAATTAATTTTAAACATGTTTTTGAAGGGTTTTTATTTACTCCGTATCAGCAGTGTGTGTTTGTGCTGTACCGCCTTCTGTTAAACTAAAGCTATCTCCATAAATTATGATAAAATATTGAAAATGTGAGGAAAAAGGTTGAAATTACTTTTTTGTCTCAATAATTTTGACATTTTAATGTCATTTATTATGATCTTTCAAGTCAATTTAATGTCATACATTAATTCAACATTTGATGTCATAATTCTGACTTTTTAAGGCAGTTTCGACTTTTTATTTCATTGATAATTATGACAAATCAGAATTTTGACTCAGAATTTTAACTGTCATAATTATGATTGTTTGACTTAATTATATCTTATAACTTACTGTCATAATTTCAACTTTTTGTCTCAATTTTGACTTTTTACAGCTTCAGTCAGAATTTTGAATTTATATCAGAATTTTTACTCATAATTTCAACTGTCATATTTGACTTAGGTCAATTGATTTTTTACTAAAGTCAGAATTTTGACTCGCAATTTCAACCATAATTTCAGAAGTCCAACTTTTTGTCGCAATTTTGACTCAAGTCAGTTTCAACTTTTTTACGTCTTTAATTCAGAATTTTTACTTTATATCATAATTTTGACATATGTCTGAATTTTGACGCATAATTTCAAAAATACAAAACCCAAACACCCAGATTGGGCTCGGCTGCAGGACAACTGAGTAACATTAACGAAAAAAAGAAGCGTGAAGTCCGTACACTGAAAATAGTCTCAATTTTGACTTAAGTCAGTTTTGACTTTTTTACGTCTTAAGTCAGAATTTCGACAGTCATAATTTCGGCTATAATTGACAGTCAGATGTTTGCGGGCTCCAGTGTAAAGCTGCATGTACTTGTATTGAGTCCGACACCAGTGTGTTCACTGGTCCTTGAACTCTGCGTCAAACATGATCTTCTGGATCTGCATTTTAACCGCGGCTCTTTTCTGCGGCGTCAGTCTTTTGAGGGCCGGGACGAAACTCAAGAGGAACAGCTCGTCCTCATCCAAGGCTTTCTGGACGCTCTTCAGAGGCTCGTTCTCTGAGACCCGTGTGTGTGTCTGATGCTCTGAGACCCGTGTGTGTGTCGGATCCTCTGCGGGCTGCGCTGATGAACTGGACGCCGGCGCCCCCTTCAGGCCCGGAGGAGGACCGGACACCAGCGGCCTCATGTGTTGCAGGGGTTTGAGCTGAGCCACGATAGACAGGGGCATTATGGGAGTCAGCGGGATCGCCGCTTTGATCGGATGCTTGGGCTCAAACCTGCCGTCACTCTTTGCTTGGTTTCCCAGGCTGGACTTTGAGTCTCCGCCGCTGGACTCGTCGAGCGACTCCTCGGGCGAATCGCGAGCGCTTCCGTCGTCCGGATCCTCCAGAGCCTCGGCTTCACTGGGAATCTTCCTCTTCCGGATGTGATTGTCCAGGAACGAGAGGCTTTCTCTGTGTGGCCAGTAATGCAGGCGCCGGCCTCCTTCTTCTCTCTTCAGCTTGCAGAGTCTCCGCTCTCGGATGTATCGGTCCCTGATGGTCTTCCATCTTCTCTTGCACTCCACCACTGCAGCGGGAAAACAGCGTTAAACTCTCACACACACACTCATAAAACTGCATCTATCCATGACAAAAGTGCATCTGTCCATCATAAAATTGCATCTATCCATCATAAAAGTGCATCTATCCATCATAAAAGTGCATCTATCCATGATAAAAGTGCATCTATCCATCATAAAAGTGCATCTGTCCATCATAAAAGTGCATCTGTCCATCATAAAAGTGCATCTGTCCATCATAAAAGTGCATCTATCCATCATAAAAGTGCATCTATCCATCATAAAAGTGCATCTATCCATCATAAAAGTGCATCTGTCCATCATAAAAGTGCATCTATCCATCATAAAAGTGCATCTATCAATGATAAAAGTGCATATATCCATCATAAACGTGCATCTATCCATCATAAAAGTGCATCTTTCCATCATAAAAGGGCATCTGTCCATCATAAAAGGGGATCTGTCCATCATAAAAGTGCATCTGTCCATCATTAAAGTGCATCTGTCCATCATAAAAGTGCATCTATCCATCATAAAAGTGCATCTATCCATCATAAAAGTGCATCTATCCATCATAAAAGTGCATCCATCCATCATAAAAGTGCATCTATCCATCATAAAAGTGCATCTATCCATCATAAAAGTGCATCTATCCATCATAAAAGTGCATCTGTCCATCATAAAAGTGCATCTATCCATCATAAAAGTGCATCTATCAATGATAAAAGTGCATATATCCATCATAAAAGTGCATCTATCCATCATAAAAGTGCATCTTTCCATCATAAAAGGGCATCTGTCCATCATAAAAGGGGATCTGTCCATCATAAAAGTGCATCTGTCCATCATAAAAGGGGATCTGTCCATCATAAAAGGGGATCTGTCCATCATAAAAGTGCATCTATCCATGATAAAAGTGCATCTATCCATCATAAAAGTGCATCTGTCCATGATAAAAGTGCATCTGTCCATCATAAAAGTACATCTATCCATCATTGCATCGGTCCATCATAAAAGTGCATCTATCCATCATAAAAGTGCATCTATCCATGATAAAAGTGCATCTATCCATCATAAAAGTACATCTATCCATCATAAAAGTGCATCTATCCATCATAAAAGTGCATCTATCCATCATAAAAGTGCATCTGTCCATCATAAAAGTGCATCTATCCATCATAAAAGTGCATCTGTCCATCATAAAAGTGCATCTGTCCATCATAAAAGTGCATCTATCCATCATAAAAGTACATCTATCCATCATAAAAGTGCATCTATCCATCATAAAAGTGCATCTGTCCATCATAAAAGTGCATCTATCCATCATAAAAGTGCATCTGTCCATCATAAAAGAGCATCTATCCATCATAAAAGTGCATCTGTCCATGATAAAAGTGCATCTGTCCATCATAAAAGTGCATCTGTCCATCATAAAAGTGCATCTATCAGACAGTGAAATACGTTTTTTTACTGTAAAATTAAGTTCAGTCTGTTAAACCTAACATTTTTACCGCATATTTAATGTAATTTTAGTTTACAGGGAAAACCACGATGGACTCCGACAGAAACACGGTGTCGCTCAGATCCGGCAACATCTGTAACGCCTGGATCCGCATGTGGGCCGGATCTGAGCCGACACTGGGTTTCTGCCGGACGAGCGCACTCGAAAGACCCTTTTTTACTTTATAATTTTCTCCTTTATAGAAAGCTGTTAAAATGCTTTACGGGCTTAATGTATTAAAGACATCGATATTAAAAGACCAAATTCAGTTATTCATGATGCATATTATATACAGGAAGATACAGATGAGAATATGAATAACGCTATTGAACATTAAAGTCGAGATGAAACTGGTGTTTTCTCCCGATAGTGACGAATATCGAGTCAAACACGTGACCTATAAGAACAAATGAAGGCGGGGCTTAATCTGGAATTGAACGGATTGTCGGATAAATCATTTATAATAAATACTGCAATATTCCATGCAAAAATAAGAATAGTCAGTTTTGATTTCATGCTTATTTTTGGCATTTTATCATATAAAAGCATTATAAAGTAAACGCTTAACGTATCAGCCTTTATATAATATGAAAATCAGAATCAGAAAGAGCTTTATTAACAATGATTTGATTTTTCCTCAGTGAAGAAGCTTCCATGTAAATACAAGACATAATAATAACATTAAAGAATAGAAATATGACAAGTATAAGACACATATTGGGTATATTTAAAGCAATAAGGTGTATATTAATATCACTGCAATAATGCGCCGCGTTACGCGTTTTAATAATGTCTCTTTTATCGTACAGTATCATAAATCTTCACTCATATTGTGAATCAGAGACTTTATAAAGTTCTCCAGAAAACAAACAGAAAGACGCGCGTTTAAACACATCTAGACGGAGCGCAACATTAGGCGGATTAAAAGGTTGAAATATTAATAAATCAACACATATGGAACTCAAGAACGCGCGCTAAATGAATCCCTGTTAACTTCATTATATTGTCCATCATTATAGCGCTAGCGACGCGTCAGAATCAGAACGCGCCTTTAATAATCAACGATCACAAACAGTTTGACTGAAACGGACGCGTTGTAGTTTGTTGAGTCTCCAGCTGTAAATATGTGTGTGAAATCATCAAGATCAACAGAACACAAACACTTTTCAAAGTCAAACGCGTGTCGAGCGCGCGTGATGTTGACGCACTGACTGACCGGAGAGCCCGACGCACGCGGCGACCTCCCTCCACGCGTTCACGCGCCGCTCGGAACTGCGATAATCGTGCAGCGACGCGTTGTAGAGCACCGGGTAACCGGAGACGCTCTGGATCAGTTTCTCAGTCACGGCCATTGAGTTTATTGAGACGCGTCGATCTGAACGCGTTCCCGGAATTGTTGCACAGGCGCGTCAAAAGTGCGCGACACGCGCCTCTACCGCGCAAGCGGGACGTCATGGCGGGGCTTTAGACCAATGAGATTTCAGTGTGGGCGGGGCTAAACAGAGCGTCGCGTCACAGATAGAAACACAAGCGTCAGTCAAAAGATCAGGAATTAAACGCCGAGACAAATATGGCATATTAATATTCAGCCCGTTTATTTTCCTGCACTTCTTCAAGTTTTACAAGACTTAAGTTAGTTTTAAATGATCCAACACAAAAAGATTTGGGTTTTTGCCTGAACTTTTGTTTTATGTTCCAGCTGACACAAGACAGAACGGCCCATTTGGTTGTTTATTGTAACCAAAAACTATAAGCTTCAGATCGAGCGTTGCAGGGAGGTTGTTTCTACTCTTTAGGTTTTATTTTTATAATAACTATAAAATAATCTTCCTATGAATTATCCAAAGAGAATATCCTGAACTACTGTGATGATTGTCCCTCAGACTGACACAGACTCTTTCACTTGTTCTATATTACCGAAGATGATATAGCCTTTATGGCAAGCCGTGTTGACTTTATTCATTCCCAGGATTCTTCATATCAACAATTCAATTTTCACTAGTTAAATGCTTATTCTTGATTTCAGGAAAATTAGATTTCCAGTAGTAAAAAAAAAAAAAAATCGTAATTCTTGGTATCAGCAATGACGTCATTCATCACTCACAAAAATAGGAATTCTTGATTCAAGATGAAATTATGAAATCATAATTAAATTCTTCATTGTAAATGGCAGCCTACGGTGACATTTAAAAAGTGAAAACACAACTACAGATATCAAGAATTATAGTTTTTACTAGTAAAAAAAAAAAACCATTTATAACTAGTAACATTTTAATTGTATGATATTAGGAATTCATATCCTAGGAATAAATAGAAGTCAACACGGCTTGATGCTTTGCATATTCAGATCAGATCTCTCATATCTATTGTGACAGATCTGATGATCACGAATAATCAAAATGATCAAATCAGAGCCTGATTCACTTTTAATCCGCTTGCGAACTGTGATCTACCAATCGCTTGCGATGCGTGAGTCGCGCGTTTCTGACGCGCCGGAAATACGATCTAAACGCGCCGCGTCTCCGCAGCAACTCAACTCAATGGCTGAGAAGGAGAAGCTGATCCAGACCGTGTTCGCGCGCCCGCTGCTCTACAACGCGTCGCTGCACGGGTACCGGCGCTCGGAGCGGCGCGTCGACGCGTGGAGGGAGATCGCCGCGTCCGTCGGGCTCTCCGGTCAGTGCGTCAAATCTCACGCTTGCACGGGCTTTACATGCACTATATAGTGATAATAAACATTTATACTGTAGAACCCTTCATACACATAATTATTAGTCTGTAAAGTATTATTCACAAGTAAGACGCAGAGATCTTAGCCTATAGTGTTCTGTAATATTTTATTCGGGCAAAAAAAAAAGGGTTATTTAATTAAGGACAGTACAACATAATTCCAACCAAAAAGCTGAAAAAATGCATTGTGCATAGAGAATACCTATAGCATTTGCTAAATTCTATCTAAATAAATAAATAAACAAACCGTGCTTACCATTAGTTAATAACAGTAATATAAGAAACCCATACATTTATACATTCATTTTCTAAAGGAAAAAAAACTAAATGGATACCCTGAAAACAAATAAAAAGGATTAAAACATTTTAAATACGGGTAACACTTTACAACTAGGTTAATTAGTTATCATTAGTTAATGCATTAACTAACATGAACTAACAATGATCAAAATATTTGTTACAGTATTTATTAATCTTTGTTAATGTTTGTTAATAAAAGTCAAGCTGTAGTTCACAGTGCATTAACTAATGTTAACAAGATTTTAAGCTGAATGCTGAAGAAGTATTGTTCATTATTAGTTTTTGTTAACTAAGGTAATTAACTAATGTTAGCGACTCGGTTACTAACGTAACCTCGCTTCCCTTTCGAACTGTCGTATTGCGTAGCTATACGCTTTGGGGAAACTCTTTTTTCTCTGAATACTGAAGCCTTTCGGTATAATAACGCAGAGACTCCTCGCACGCTATTGGCTGGTCAGTGGTAACTGCACGAACCTATGGCAGAGCGGCGTAACTGCGCAGACCAATCGGTGCACAGCCAGCCAGAATGGGCGGGGCATCTGCCTATAAAAGACGCTCGATTTCGCCATAGATTCAGGTTTATTGACTGAAGTGGCGAACGAAGAGTCGTGAGTATTATAGCACGGCCGTCTACGCAACACTCGTTCCCTTATCTCAGGGAATGACGGCTCGATACGGCAAAGAACCTATGGCGTAACTGCGTGAACCAATCGGTGCACAGCCAGCCAGAATGGGCGGGGCATCTGCCTATAAAAGACGCTCGATTTTGCCAGCCAGTAGCCATATCACCCTGTAGCCCAAGACTGGTCCCCCACTGAAGCTAAGCAGGGCTGAGCCTGGTTAGTACCTGGATGGGAGACCTCCTGAGAAAACCAGGTTGCTGCTAATCATCCCCATATACTGATTGGCTTAATCACTATGTCTCCTCTCCACCAGTAAGCTGGTGTGTGGTGGGCGTTCTGGCGCAATATGGCTGCCGTCGCATCATCCAGGTGGATGCTACACATTGGTGGTGGTTGAGGAGATTCCCCCTTCAATGTAAAGCGCTTTGAGTACCCAGAAAAGCGCTATATAAATGTAACAAATTATTATTATTATTATAAAGACCCTAATGATGATGGGCCGGGCTCGCACAGAGGCTTCAATCATACGGAAAGGATGTTTGCTTGCAGCGCAGGGACTTCTAAGTTATAAAATCTGGCGAAGGTAGATGGCGAAGACCAGGTGCATATATCGCCAGTGGATACTCCACTAGACACGCCCTGTAGGAGGCCATGCCTCTGGTGGAGTGAGCCCTGACGCCTGTGGGGCATTGCAGGCCCGTAGAAGCGTAGGCAAGAGTGATAGCGTCCACCAGCCATCGGGATAATCTTTGCTTTGTGAGCGGAAGCCCTTTGGTGAGGCCACTAAAGCTTACAAAGAGCTGCTCCGACTCGCTGTACTGGGCGGAGCGCTCCATATATGTTCTCAGAACCCGGACCGGCAGAGCAGGTGTAATTGTTGCTTGTCTTCCGATGTGGGAAGAGCAGAAAGCGTAATTACCTGTGCTTTGAACGGGGTTGAAAGCACTTTGGGCACGCAGCCGTGTCTTGGTTTGAGGATGACTTTAGAGTCGCCCGGACCAAACTCCAGACAGGAGGCGCTGACAGAACGGTTGGAGGTTCCCCAAAAGCCGATGGCAACAAAGGTGGAAAATGCGACAGTGGAACCAAAACTCCATCAGTGACAGAATGGAAAAATAAACCTTGGGAGAAACCAGACTCAGTCGCTCAGTTCTCCTCTCGCTAATGAACGAACAGTCTATGATTATGATTCAGGCCGCATTACAGGTCAGAGGTCAGATTGGATTCAAGTATCCGAGTTGCTTCTGTGAGGTCCGTAGATCGTCGCTTCAGACGATAAACCTGAATCTATGGCAAAATCGAGCGTCTTTTATAGGCAGATGCCCCGCCCATTCTGGCTGGCTGTGCACCGATTGGTCCGCGCAGTTACGCCGCTCTGCCATAGGTTCGTGCAGTTACCACTGACCAGCCAATAGCGTGCGAGGAGTCTCTGCGTTATTACACAGAAAGGCTTCAGTATTCAGAGAAAAAGGAGTTTCCCCAAAGCGTATAGCTACGCAATATGACAATTCGAAAGGGAACCGATGAACCTTATTGTAAAGTGTTACCGTTATATGCATTCAGCTCTGCTCTGTTAACCATCATTGTAAAACGTGCCTGTTGGTGTGCATAAGATGCATGTTAAGGAATGTTTTCCCTTGTTTAAAGCTAATTTCAAGGTTATTTACTAGACCTATTTTTGTAATAGTTTGAAGAATAAATGTTTGAAACTGTTCTCCTGCAGTGGTGCAGTGTAAGCTGAAGAGGGAAGACCTGCATTACTGGCCACACAGAGAAAACCTCTCGTTCCTGGGCAATCACATCAGGAAGAGGAAGATTCCCAGTGAAGCCGAGGCTCTGGAGGATCCGACACACACACGGGTCTCAGGGGATCCGACACACACACGGGTCTCAGGGGATCCGACACACACACGGGTCTCAGAGCATCAGACACACACACGGGTCTCAGAGAACGAGCCTCTAAAGAGCGTCCAGAAAGCCTTGGATGAGGACGAGCTGTTCCTCTTGAGTTTCGTCCCGGCCCTCAAAAGACTGACGCCGCAGAAAAGAGCCGCGGTTAAAATGCAGATCCAGAAGATCATGTTTGACGCAGAGTTCAAGGACCAGTGAACACTGATGAATGTTTCATAATTACATTACATGTTGTATTTCTGTATATAGGCCTATTATTTCATTGCAACAGCTTACAAAGTAAAGAGTTTTATATGTCTTGCTATTCTTTATATGAAGCTTTTGCTGGTTTAAAAAATTCCCTTTTGTGTGTAAAATGACATTAAATGTTATGCAAAGCAAAACTGTTATCCTGAGCTTTTGAACAAAAAAATATTTATGCATATTCGCTAGTAACAAGAGGGGTTGTGAAAGGAGTCCGTGGCGACTGACCGAGGTGAAGACAGTGGGACAAGGGGGCCTGGTGGAGCCTGAGGGATGGAGGAGCCCGACACAGCCATGGAGTGAAGGGGTGGAGTGCAGGAGTCCGTGGTGACTGACCGAGGTGAAGACAGTGGGACAAGGGGGCCTGGTGGAGCCTGAGGGATGGAGGAGCCCGACAGAGCCATGGAGTAAAGGGGTGGAGCGCAGGAGTCCGTGGCGACTGACCGAGGTGAAGACAGTGGGACGAGGGAGCCTGGTGGAGCCTGAGGGATGGAGGAGCCCGACAGAGCCATGGAGTGAAGGGGTGGAGCGCAGGGGTCCGTGGCGACTGACCGAGGTGAAGACAGTGGGACAAGGGGGCCTGGTGGAGCCTGAGGGAT